TAAAATCACTAAACCACAGGCAAAATGATTTGAGATTTAAGGGGACAAAAAAATGACCTGAATTTTAAATAAACTTTGGAAATTTAATATAAGTATAAATAAGAAGTGGTGGTAAACAAATTTACAAAAAAATAACACTTAATTGCAGATTACACTAACATGTATAATAAGTGGCTTAACCGATGTAAAATAATATGTGTTTGTGGGAAATATCATAGAGGTAATAGCTGGTGACTAGAGAAAACTTTTATGATACTCTGTGTACTATTTGCGATACGCCTATAATTATCACAATAATAATACTCGGGTGGGTTGAATAACAAACCCTACATATTAATGAGAGTGAAAAGGTAATAATAATTTAATCCACTATGTGGTACTTATCGTTGTCCCATCAAAGGCTCTGCATTGTCTTTCACTGTTGTCTTGGGCTCCAGCCACGAAGGATTTTCCTGTAGAGGCGTTTCCTCCTCTAACGGCTGCGTAGCTAATAATTTCCTACATTTCCAGCTCGTAGTTTAAAATCTAGCGGACTCCACAGTAACCAGGAATAAACGATGAAAGAATCCAGCGGAAGTGGACTCCGAGAAAACTTCTCACAACGTCTAACTTCGTAATCCAAGAAAAAACCCTCAGGTACGAATGTCCCTATGCAGCAAAGCTGGTTTTTCCCATTCTCACGTAATTGCATCCCATATACTCGTTTTGGACAAGAAGACCGATCAACCAAACACATACCAACAATACAGTCTTCTAATACGAAATTGATGAAAATCCGTGACTATTTAACCATATATCTATAATTTCATGAATCACTTACTTATACTTTTCAAACGCTCGTTCGTGAATGCCGCCTGCGAGAATCAACCTTTTTCGTTCCTTTTGTTTTTATCGTACCGCAAATTCAGTTTAAATTTATAAATCAACCCACGATCACTAGATGGCACGACTTATACTAAAATGTATAAGTTAAATATATAAATACAGTACCCTACTTTTATTTAAATTACAATTACAATTTAGCCTAAAATACCTTACAAACTATTAAGAAGAAAATTAGTTCCACTGTGTTCTAGAAGAAATTGTATTCGTATAAGATTATTTTAAGCAATCAGCTAAATTTGAAAAATCTATAATGAGAACCAATCAAGTTAACCAGGATCTGCCCGTAGCACTACACTAAACTCGAAAAACATTAAAGTACTCTTATACTAAATCACCCTGTAAGGTAAGTAAGTAGTCACCCTGTATACAAGTTTTATTACATACAGAAAAATTAATTGTGGGGGTAGACTTTCTCTGAAGAAAATTCCAACTGAACTCATTATTATAATTGGGCATTCAAATTTTTAAGTGTTCTTGTTACACGATGCTAAATCAAATTTTTTTTATTTTAGGATGAATAAATAGTAAAATATTATGCATGCAGTTACTTATCAAATAATACTAGGATTGTGAATAGATTTTGAGGGATATTTTTGTAAAATCAAGGCTTTATTGTGAAAAATTGTGTACATTATTATTTTTCAAAGTATTGTCCATCGTTAGCCACTACTTTTTCCCATATTTTTGACAGCATACGAATTCTGCGTCAAAAGAACTCATCTGTTGATGTTATTCACCAAAAATCCAATTTTTTGTATCTTCGTAAAATTGGAAGCACTGCTTAGCTTGGTTGTGTTCTATGAATTGGAACAAGTAGTAATCCGATGGAGCAATATCAGGTGAATATGGCGGATGGGGTAAAACATCCCATTCCACGTTTCTAAGTATGTCGTTGAGAGCTGTCATGTTGAAAAATATCTTTATCATGCCCTTGCTCGAATTGCAGTAGCTACACCAGTGATGGTTTCAATTCGTTGAAGTAGCTCGTAGTCACCAACACTAAGCTCTGTTCCACCAAATACAGAGCATGACCTTCCAACCATGAAGATTTCAACCTTGTCATCAATTTTGATGCATGACCATGCAAGCCCCACGATTTTCTACATTTAAGATTATCCATTTTTCATCACCAGACGATATGATGCAAAAAACATGGTTCATAGTTCAAAAGTAATATAGAATTCCCCGACTTTTCCAGGTTTACCCTGACATAAATAAGTCACTTGTAGTTCATTTTTACATATTAATTGGTGTTTATGCATTAAACTTTTTCTAGACTGGACTCCATAATCTTTTAAGAGTACTTTTAAAATTCCCTGACCATTCCCTATTTTTTATGAAGAATAATGAATTCCCTGACTTTTCCCGGTATTCCCAGTTTTCCAGTCTGCTACGAACCCTGAAAAAACCCTTTCTTTTTTGCCGTTGAAGAAATTGTTCACACGTGAAAAATCACGTTCAACATCTTTCAGATTCGATTCGTATGGCACTCAATTTCCTTGCTTTTGAATCATTCCGAGTACATTTAAACATTTGGAAACTATTGTGCTATCAACATTCAACAATTCAGCAAGTTCATTTTGAGTTTGACATGAATCTTGGTTAAGTAGTGCTTCCCATTCCACATCTTCAAAATTTTTTTGTTGGCCAGTGCGTTTTTTGTCAAGTGTATCGAAATCACCACTTCTAAAATTTCGAAACTAATAATCATACGTTTTTATCGATGTAGTATGTTAACGATAGGTTTCCAACAGCACTCAGTGATTTCAGCAGCGCTTTTGTTCCCACAAATGGTGTCAAGAAAACACATGTTGATTACACTTCAGCCAAATGACACATAATAAAAAGTAAAGCCTAATGACAGAACTTTGACATGAATATAGTTACAGAAGGGTCCGACGCGACATAGCATAATTTACGTCATCTATTGTAAATCCCTCAAAATTAATTCACAGTCCTAGTAATTCAAGAAACCACATTAGCTGTGAATTAAATAAAAAAATATTTACATAGGTTTACTCAACTGATTTGTGGTATAGAACTTTTTATTAAAACTGTTCGAGCTATTTAGTTACACCCTGTATATAGTACCTAATGTAACATTTAAACTACTATTTATACTTCATAGATTAAAGATTTTGGAAACTTCATTCTCATCAAAGCATTACATTCAGTTTATGGAAATTGGACTGTGATCCAAAATAACAGCTTAGTAAATTTATAATGTGTATATTTTAAAACTTTTATCAATTATGCACATTTATTTAAAAAATCTAAAACACGCACTATTCCAGTTTTATATACTATCATTATAAAAGTTTATAATAAACAAAATAATTCAAATTAACGCATGTACAGAATGAAAGCTTAAACTGATAAACTAAACTGATTTAAAATGTGGTAACAACATGGTAATAAAAAATATGAATGATTATAACATATCGTAACATGCAGGAAATAATTATAAAAATATAAAAGATCCTATTAACTTTTTCCCCATTTTTTTAATCAACTAAATATACGAACCCTTACTATTATATTAAAAAAAACTATAAAACAAAATGATATAAACATCTTTTACAAAAAAAAATTATACCTATTAGGAAAAGTACAATATAGAAATATATTTTATCTTTACAGTCCTCTTAGTTCTCATTATTTAGGATACAACTGCATCCTGCATTTTAAAAAACTAATTATGCTTCTGTTTCTGCTAAAAGTTGTGAAAATGAAGATAAAAATTAATCAAATTTAAACTTATTTTCTACCAAAGTGAAGTGACAAGAATATACCTATTAATGGTTAAAAAAACTAAATTCCTTGTTATAGGTAAAATATTCTTCACAACACCGGGTGCAAAGAAAATCGGGTAAAAAATATTGAGAAAGAATCAATTGCATTCTTATTTGGAGAAACTTGTAAGACAAGTCTAACAGACTTTTTAGTACATTCAAATTAACACCCTATATAATTAAACTAAATTATAAAATGGTTGTACAACAATAAGTTTTTAATAAAAGGCAAAGGAACAGTCTGTCATACGGACAGTTTTTAGGAGATGGTTTTTATGTCCGTAAATAGAATTTTCATGAAGAAAACATTTGGATTTGTGGAAAAAAAAGAGATTAAAATAGGATTTACCGACCCTAAGACTTTAAAAAGTGATACGTATAATATATGTAAAATATCTATTTCATAACCAGTTGATAGATACAATCAGGCTTTTTTTTACAAAATTAAATCTTTGTAGATATAGCTATTTTAATTTGGTTTTGACACACATTTTTCAAACTGTAATACTGCAGTTTTAAATAAAATTTTGTGAAAAATTAGAATAGAAAAAATATCTAGTGCAACCTTTTTCGAGATATGAGGGTCTGAAACCTCTATTTTAATTTTTTATTTTACAATGTTCGTTCAAAAGTTTTTTCATCGTGAAAGTTCTCTGTGGGCCTAAAAATCATCCCCTTAGATATAATGTAGGTACCATGCTTCAGTAAGCTTAAAAAAGTTGGAGCAACATTAAATAAAACATTGAATACAAAAACATTAGAGATCAATGTACAGGGCGTCGCACTTAAACGTGATACAAGACTGCAGATTCTCTATTTTTTGACTGATTTGTATATATTTTTTTTTAGATTGTAGGATAAAAAAACCTCCAACTGTAATGTACGCGTTTTTTTGACGTCAAAACAGCTAAGGACCAAGTTTCATCAAATTACATCTTCAGACGAGCACTAGTTGGCCATGTATTGCATTAATAAAAAACAGCAGTATCACAGTTAGTTTTTTTGCCCTACATTCCATAAAAAAATTTTTTGAAATCAGCCAAAAAATAAAGAAGTTACAGGCTTACATTATTTTCGCGACACCATGGAGTGCTTGCCTGAAGATGTATCGAATTTGATGAAACTTGGTGGTAAGATGTTTTAATTATGTTTTTTGGAAAAATCGTTAATATGTCAAGAATACGTGTTAGTTGGTCGTGAATTGCATTAATAAAAACAGCAGTATCATGTTAGATAGTTTTTTTGCCCCACATTCTTCAACAAAATTTTTGAAATCGGCCAAAAAATAAAGTTATAGGCTTGTATCACATTTAAGCGCGACACCCTGTATACATGTAGACTCACTGAATTTTTATTCAAAAAGAAAAAAAATAGTATACTTAGTTATATTTTTATGTTCATTTTCACCAACAAACAGATCAGTTTTCTGTAGATACAATTTTCTTTTAATATATAAAACTGATAAACGAAAAGACTTCGAAAAAAGGGACTTGAAAAAACTAAAATCTGTTTTACTAACTATGAATCACATTAAAATCTTATTTTTATACAATATACATTTTTTTACAGTTCCGTGAGCACTCAAAATTTTTAATTTTTTGCAGGCGATTGCCAATACCTGAAACCAACATCCCAAACACATGACCTTAAAAGTAAAGTATTATTAGTTATTCCTTTAATATAAACAACAACTACAATGTGCATCTATTGCTACTATTTCTTTTTTTAAACAGAATATAAATGCTGCCAAACTTCACAATTTGCAAAAACTTTTCTGTGCTCTACATTACTGGTGAATACTATTGTTCCTATTAATAGTTTTTCTTTGAGTTAATGTACATAATATGATCATAAACTTGCTTTATTTGAATTATAATGCCAAATATAAAACAATATTAACAAAGTTTCAAATATTGCAAGGAAAATCGTAAATTAAAGTTCTAGTATATGCACAACTTAATTTGGAATTTTAAAATTCCACTGTAGTAGCACACAGCAATATAAAAAATATTTCCATCACAGTTTTGACATATTTTATTAAATAATTATATGCAAATTAATTAATGCACCCTCGCACATACATATACGGTCTGTTATTACTTATATTTACATAAAAAATGTGTCTACAGAAAACTTTGACCAAAATTACTTAAGAAAAAATAAGACATATTATTCACGTTTAATAGCCTGTGGCGCTTCGGCTAATCCTTTCACTTTAAGTCTATCTGCCGTTTTGAGGAATGCGGGTAGTTGTTCCTGGCTCACGTTTACCTCACCAGCATACATGAATTCTAAAATGGCTTGCAGATGGCTATAGGCAACATCTTTTAGGATTATTATTGGGTGTTTTGAAGGATTTTCCTAAAATAAATATTGCGCTTAACACAAATATAATCATGCACGAATACATAGCGGCAGCTATTTTGTCAATGAAGAGAAACCATTCCATTAACTTTCAATATATTTAAAATAGAAACAATTTTCACTTGAACAGCGTAACCACTATGAAAAAAAAAATTATTTTATACTGGGGTACTTCTACTTATAGTGTGAATTATTAAAATATAAAAAGTAACTGACTATAGTTCAACATTCAGTTCAATGTTTTGCTTTTATTATTTAAAATAAAGACGCTTTCTATACATTTTTCTATACATATGCTGACAAGTTTGTTTACTCACATTACAAAGATAATAAATTTGACCACTACCTACCTCCAATAAACTTTTAAAATATGGACTACAAGCTGATAAAACCATCTTATGTGCCTTGCATGTTTGACCCTCGCAAGCTAAGGTTACATCGGTGAAACTTTTCTCATCTCTTAGATGTCGGAAGGATGATACCATATTACTTTGAAAATCGTTCCATTTTAAGAAAAACTGTTGCTGATCAGCCATTTTATATTTTTCAAGCTACAAAAAAATTTATTGTTTATAAAAAAAATGTTTCTTATAATCCATAACCCTATTTCTTGATGAATGTATATTAACAAGACATCTCGTTGGGCAAAATAATTTATAGCATGAAAAGCATACATATCTTTATACTTACTTCCGAAAGTGGCCTAATAAATGTTATATTCCTAAAAATTATTGTAGAATTTAGACATTCATTAGCATTCTACTAAACAATGCATTACGCAAGCGCCACGAGCGCCACTTCCTTAACTGATCGCTTGATTTGATAACCAATTCTAAAAACAACAAGACATTCTTTCGCTAGAGAGGTCCGATCGGAGTAGATATCTCTCTTTATCTTCCTTTGGTGGAAAAGGACAGCAACTAATCTAATCGACATCATATGACGTCACAAAGAAATGTAACATATCTAACGCAGTTGTTTTTATTTTCTTTCTGTTACATTTTTGAGGTCAAAAGACAGAACTTTGCAATCATAGGCAAATATTTGCTTTGAGACTGCAACCAGTAAACCGGTATCTGATGCTATATGACGTCACTTGTAATGCAAAAAATATGTATCCATTAATATGTACCCATACAGGGTGTAACGGCGACGATGTGATAAACTTTCAAAACTCTTGAAAAAAAAAGAACAAGTGTATTTTTTCTAAAGCGATCCTATCGAATCGTAGAGGACCAGTCAAAAACTGGACGTGTAGTAATTTTTGATAAATTACTGAAAGAGGTATCGAAAATATTTACTACAAAATTCATTGTAATTTACCTTATGGAAAATTGTATAAAAATCCAACTAGTAGCGTCTCTAATATAACTTGTCGTTATATAGATTTAGATTATAAGTACGACATTATTGATACCTATCAAATCTAGATTTATCCAGATTTATTATCAGTTATATCCGATATATTTGTAGGTACTTATTTAGAGGTACACGCAAAACATTAATTTGCAATATTTTTATCTTTTCAATATAGAATACTTTATTTGTAACATACGGGATGCAAATTTATTTTCCTTAGCCCGTGGACACAAAATTATGATATTGCAGGCAAACATATTCAGCAGGTACAGGGTGGTCACGTGAAAATTGTCCTCCTCTTATTACGCGCTTAGGCAACCAACATTACACGACGTGTACTGTCAACTAAAAATCTCTAAATCTTATAGTATCACTAATATTAATGATCCATTTACAATGAACTAATGACAAACCGTTACGTTCACGCTAGAGATAATGCGATCGCTGATTGGTTGAATGAAATCTTGCGAAAAATTACATCAGCCGGTGAAGCAGAATGTTGTGTTTTAATATAATCTTGATCTTATTGATTTAATAATTTTTAATTTTATGGGAATTTAATTGCCAACGCGAAGGAAATAAAATTACTGTTTCAAACAAAATTACTGGTCACATGGCACGTATGTATTTATGAAGGCTCAGTAAGTTAATAATACATAGTAACTGCTTGAACATTGTTAAACATAAGTAATATATAATATACAGGGTGTCGCGCTTAAATATGATACAACCCTGTAACTTCTCTATTTTTTGGTCGATTTCAAAAATTTTTATTTGGGAACGTAGAGTTAAAAAAAACTATATCTAACTGTGATACTGCTGTTTTTATTAATGCAATTCACGGCCAACTAGGACGCGTTTTCTTGTCATCAAAACAGCTGATTGGTATTAGCGATTTTTTTTCCAAAAAACAGATTACGTATTCTCATTCAGCATCCCTTAAGACGTCTTGCCACCAAGTTTCATCAAAATCGATACTTCTTCAGGCGAGCACTCCATGATGTTGCGAAATGTAATGTAACTTCTTTATTTTTTGGCCGTTAATTTTTTTTTTATGAAATGTAGAGTAAATAGAGTCTATCTGACTGTGATACTGCTGTTTTTTATTAATGCAATACACGGTCAACTAGTGCTTGTCTGAAGATGTATCGAATTTGATGAAACTTGGTGATAAGACATTTTAAGGGATGCTGAATGAGAATACGTAATTTGTTTTTTGGAAAAAAAATCACTAATACAAATTAGCTGTTTGAATTGCATTAATAAAAACAGCAGCATTACAGTTAGATAGTTTTTCATCCCACATTCTAAAAAAAAAAAATTTGAAGTTGGTCAAAAAATGTGCAAAACCGTACTTATCGTATCAATTTCGACGTCACCTGTTACATGGGTGTTGTATAATAATGAAAACGTAATATTGACAGTTGGTAGAAGGAAGCGCAAAAAACAAACGCTTAGATGGAGAATTCTGGATGGAAGCCTAAATAGTTGAAGTGAGAACAGTGTGGAGATGGGAGTAAGACGATCGGCGGGCAGTGAGGCAAAATAGTGAAAAATAAAAGTGTTTAACCGGTATTAGTTAGAAGGTAATTATCCTCTAAGTAAGTACTTTGTTGTTAATTGTTATATGTAATCTTATGATTGTGATGGTTATAGATGATTCATGATAATAATTCTTTGTATGTTTAGCTTTCATTGTCTTATGCTCAGGGGCGTATATTTTTCTAACATAAAATTATTATTAAAGATTGCTCATTATTTATTACATGTTAAAATATGTATATACCTATTGTCGTGACTGCCCGGATATTGCAATAACAACTCCTTTGTTTCACATTTAACTTGTTTTATCATGATTACATTGTTCGAAAAACGAATAATAAAGCATTTCTTGTGATCACTTTATGTCATACGCATATAAGAGCTTTGTTGAATTTACTAACATTTTCGCCCGTGAGGAATGAATCTGTAAAAAGAATAATTAAATACAAGAAAATAATTGCTAAAACAGATCTTCTGAAACCTCAACTCATAGCTGGATTACCTTCCGTATGGGACTCCAGTACCTTACTTATTAATATTATTATTGTTATTATTGTTATTATTATTGTTGTTGTTATTATTAACCTCTTCAGTTTTACTTGGAAGTGTGTGTCTAATTCGAGTGAGATGACATTTAGAAATTAAATAAGTCGCGTATTATTTATCATTAGCAAAGGATCCTAATTTATGCCTTTTGTTAGCGGTAGTTTTGTATTTATATTTGGGTAGTTAGAGCAACGAACGTGGGTTTCTGTGCCATGCTCTTTCCCCACAGGAGCCCTAGGTGAGCATGGCACTCTCATTTTATGTTAAATGGTTGTTAATGTTTTTGTTGTTCTTTCTATTTGTCCCGTTTAATTTGAAGACTGTTGTACAAAAATAATAAAGTGTATTTACTCTGCTTTTGTTTTTTATAAAATTAAACCATACTTCCCCTCTTTAAAGTTAATAACCAGCGCCTTCCGGTCAATTAAAAATAGATGTGTACAACGTAGGTATTCCTTATGACGATCACATATTTTTGGCCACAACTTTGTTTATTTTTTTCGATCGAACCCGGGGTTGTTATACTACAAAAACAAAGAAGCTACAGGCTTAACATTTAAGCGCGACACCCTGTATATTTAAAAACTCTTGACGCCGTCTATTCAATGATACAAATATATAAACACAGTGCTCATTAAAAATAAACTATTACGCTTATATCTCAGAAATGTTACATTCAATTGTTTTTACATTGGTCAAAAAGACTTTTTAAATCCCTGCAACTTTTAAGATACACATTTTTGCGTCGCAAACAGTAACGGAGAAGAACGGGGGACAATTTTGGCTTGAGCACCCTATACATGGACAAACATATTTTCTCAGATTCGTACTTATATATCATAAAGAAAACATTATTATTTAAAAAATATTTTTCATATTGGCACACTACTAGGTATAGTCCTTCCGAAGTCAGTTGAATATGCAAAAAAACGTCTGGTAATAAAATTTAATGAGTTTCATAGGCGTCCCTAAAAAAATTTTCTGCTAAAGGTAAAAAATTATAATAATTTGTATATAATGTGTAGAAAATTTCTATATATGTTCATTTGATCAACAACATACTATTTTAATTATTCATGTCCTCACACAATTTTATTATATTGGTGGTAAATTTTGTTTTGTTCCGTTTCAAAAGGTCTCCAAAATGGCATGTTGTGATAATATTAGTAAACAAAATATTCTTCTTATTTCTCCCTTTCACAATTGCAATATGAATGATTGATAGAAGGTGCCTATAATAAATTAAAATTGCCTGATTTACACCAAATTCCGCACTGCTGTACTGCACTGCTAGGCAATTTATGAACCACTTGTCGCCTGCTGTGATTTATTGCCCAGAAGCCCAATACAACTGTGCTCGTTTTCCTTTGGCCGAGCTCGCATTCTTCAACTGGTCGTATACATTTCTACCACCTGCACGTTTAGTTCGACCTATATATGGGTATAGCTAAATAAATATGGGAACAAGTTTTTCAAATATTTCAATGCCGAGTTGCTGCTTAGCGACCGAGCCTGGTACATACGAAATTATAGGTTCTTCAATTGACTTCGGAGAAACTATACGTAGACTATTACATTAAATATATATATATACTTACCTGTATAACCTCAAATTAAAATTAAATAATTTATATATAATGCAATTCGAAATAAATAATTAAAACATATTTGGCATGCAAGTAATGCACAGATATATTTAGAAAACAAAGAAGCGATTATCTTATACGTTTATATCGAAAAGAATATACCTATATCTAGAATGATAATAACTAATTGAAAGTGAAAATAATAATAAAAAACATATTTTTTCCCTTTCTATATTAAAATTTGGGACCACAATATAGATAAAATTATAATTTTATATTAACAAATTTTATAATCAATATATATAAAACGGTTTCTGACAATATTTTTCAAAAAGGTCAGCCCAAAATTTTTTATAACTTCCTCTGTAATCTTGACGTAAAGTTAAACTTTCTCCTATGTGCAGGTAAATTGCTGAATCTGGAGTAGTGATTGACGGCCAAGTTACATTCTGAAGTAATTCATCCATTATTGGGGTGGGATTACTAAAAGAAAAGAACAATATTTTGAGACATAGCCACACAAAAAAAAAGTTTGTCAAGTCTGAAGGTCAGACTATGTCTACCATATGTTTTCGGGGTCGCTGAATTCGAATCTGTGATCCATTTAACCCCACCACGTCAGGGTTTACCGATAACCCCATATCACTTCGTAACCCAAGCTGTCAAATCCTATTACACACGACGGTCCTGTATAGGCAGCAAGCTATGCACCCACAATAACCCCACAACATAATCCTATGCATTCAACCTTCTAAACCCATAACCGTATAATTCCGTAACCTCATAACCGATAAATCCATAACCACGTTACTTCAGTAGTTTGACTTGTTCTCTCATCGCGGGGTTATCAAGGCTCTATAAACAGAATATATTTAACCCTTTAATCCCCTAACCCCTAGCCCCGTAACCCTAGAACCCCATAACACCATAACTTCAATAACGACGTTACGCAGTAGTTTGATGCAAGGAACATAGGTTATTGGCTCCCAGTTTCATGATCTCCAGTAGATTCTCCGTCAATTTCAAAAATATCATGCCAAATCTTTTTTCTTAAAGTACATTATCTATAAAATAAAAAAAACGTCTTGCTACGATGATAATTAACAGAGCTATACACATTAGAAATACGATAATTTTCTTACGTAGTGTACTATAGAAGGTAAGTCATTAATGTAATCTAAATGGTCTCGTTTTGATCTTTCCCAAAATATTTCCCTACCTTTTAGGGACATCCTGTTATACAGGCTGTTAATGAACTTGTGTCGAAAATTTAGAGGGATGAAAAAGGAGTTAACTGATGTCACAAACTTGTATCGGTTTCAGTTTAAGGGCATAGGGAAAAAAGCTAATTATAAATGTGTTTAAAACTGTTTTGGAACTGCTAAAATACATGTATTTTATCACAGCGAGTGCTTTTAAAAAATTCTGTAACACTTTTTACGAGTTTGTAGGTTTCTTATGAAGCCGGACTGTATTCGAAAGTCAGTTTTAATACATTGTTGTAGTGATTGCTGTGCTGTTTTTCGAGACTACATTTAATAACCGTAATTACAAGTTTTCTTTTGAAAATGGCGCATTTATTTAGCAATAGTGAATATTATGATATGTTCATAATTTATGGCGATGTAAACGAAAATGCCCACAGAGCTAGTCATGTGCACCGTGCAAGATATCCTGAACGACGTGCCCCCGCACCGCAAACATTTGTTGCTGTAGCGCAAAGACTTTTGGACACCGGTGAAGTAAAACCACGTAGAGATCGCGACGGTGGCCCAGGATGACCACTCAGAATCTTAAATGTCGAGGAGATGATTTTAGATCAAGTCGAAGAAGATCCGTATCGTAGCACTAGGAATATCGCGCGGCAAGTAAATATTTCGCATCCTGTTGTGTGGCGAACATTATGAGAAGCTCAGTTGTACCCATTTCATATTCAACGTGTTCAAACTCTTACTCCTGAAGATTTTCCACTACGTCGAGGTTTTTGCGAAAGTTCAGAAACATACAAGAAATCCTCAATTTACAGCGCAAATACTTGTTACAGTTGAAGCATGTTTCAGTCGAAATGGTGTACATAAGTCCACTACACTCATCACTGGACTATCGAAGATCCACACGAAATACTATTACTACAACTATTGCATGAAATTTCAGATACTGTACATAGTCCTACTCATTTTTTTTGAATATTGCAATCATAAAATTGATGGGGAGAAAAGGACAGAAAATTAAATTGTTCTTTGAAAACAAAAATCATAGTTTTCATTGTTCCTTCGCTATTCTATATTTTTTTATTGAAGACGTTATTGCATTGCTCTAAAATATTGGCAGACTGGAAATTTCAAAAAATTATACCTAATAGAAAAACATTCATAATTATCTACTTAATTAGATTATGCCTGTAAATTAACGAATTAGAAGAAAAAACTTGATCCTGTTAGGGCCCGACAAATTAATGAAGTGAACTTAGTGTTGAGAAAGAATAATTCATTGATTGCACAAATAAAAGAAACGTTTTCTTTTTATTAGGATTAGAAATTCTAAGGAAGGATAGAGAGAATAAGGGATAAAGGAAACAGCAGGCCAATTAACCAGATAAAAAATAACCTATTTTTATATTGAATACTTACCCATATTTAATAAAATTTGTCCAAATCTTTGTTAAACGATTTTGAACAAGTCTTTCCTTTCTATTCATATCAAGTCCTTTCCATAAATATACCATATCTTCTGCATGTCCTGCGCCTTCAAAAATGATAAGAAATGTATTTACAGAATATGAAGGTATATCTTCACATAGAAAAGTAGATAGAAAAAGGAAAATAATTGTGAATACATTTAGTAGGTATATAGTGTGAATTTTAAATGTGCACACATGTTTTAATTTCAGCTGTAATTCGCAATGTAAATGCCTCTAGTGAATTTTTAATACAAATGTTTATGGATATTATTTTTTGTCCCGTCACACATACATTCCGTGAAAAGCAATCAAAATTCTGCGGCAGCATCTACAGTTTGGAAGGGGCGACTCTTAAGAGACAGGGTCATATTCAGCTCGCTCTCTTAACTAACATTTCAGTAATTTTTATTTTTTTATAGTTTTATTATTTTATTAATTTATTTTTTGAGAATTGAAGAAAGAGAAATTTTAATTTTTGATCGTTGTCGGAGTTTCCGTTGTAGAGAAATAATAATCTAGCAGCTTTCGAGATACGAGTACTACAACCGATCGCAGTAAAAATGTAACATTTCGATAAATTTAAACTAAATATAAATATTCAGTTTAGAAAAATACATTTTTCTTTTAACTTGTACTTCTCAAAAGTTCAAATCTTGAAATTGCAAGAAAAATTTTAATCAAAACATTTTCATCCTAAAAAATTTTAAAATTTGTAATACGAATATAATGTGCTATTTCGATAAGTTCAAGTTTTCAAATATGTATGCACATTTTTAGGGTCTATTTAAAATTGAGCGTTCGTTTTCGTACTATTAAATAAGACTTCAAAATTTCACTCTACAAATCTTCAAAAAGCATGTAGTAGGTGTTGTTCAACATACCTGTAGTCTATAGAATTCTTTTTAGGTTGTGTTTTCAATTTAATGTATTTTCTTAACATTGCGTTATTGTTTGATAGTAAACTACAATGTAGCGGCATATTTGATTGACGTATTATTTTAAGTACGTTTAAGTGTATTTAATCAATATTTTTAGTTCACAATGCTGCATTCAAATGAATATGGCGGTTTAAAATAATAGTGAAATGGTAGTTATGTTGAATGCGTGTTTTCTGTGCAATGACAGTGTACTTGCGGCAAAAACTTTTTAACCCGTATTGGTATGGTAATAAAAAAATATTTCAAATGAACATAAGTAAGTTGATAAATACAATAAAGATTAGCAAGTCTACTGATAGTCATATAGCACATTTGGCGTGCATTTGTTTACCTACATGTCAAGGAAATGCGGCTAATTTTATATGTAAACATAAGAAATTTTTAAAAAGTATAACGAAAGTTGTACAAATTTAGTTTTATGTGAGCTTAGTTTGTAAGATTATCATCTCTTAGTAAAAGCTAAATATTTAATTATGTAAAAGATGTTATTCACATAACATTCTTTATCTTTGTTGGTTTTTTATTTAGAAGAAAGTTATATGGGTTAAAATTGTAGGACATTTTCTTCTGATTTCAAAATTATACTTAGAAAAACAGTAGAATGTTGCATTTCGAAAATATAAACCAAACATATTTTTTAACAGGACATCTTATATATTACTTATAACATTAACATTACAATGATAAAAAGTTTGAAAATCTATCCTTAATAATAAGGAAGATAGGTACGCCCAAAAAGTGTGCTAACGACAAACCCTTAAGCCTCGTATTATTCGCTCGTATTATTAAATACAGACCCATTAAACCAAATATCTTTGTAATATTTAGGAGACATTGTATCCAAATATGTAAAAATATATATGGCGTTCTGTCAAAAAACTCTATAAGTCTGACTTATATCACCGAATTGGAACATTCAATTGATTTTTTAGATACAGTTTTGAAACCACAAAAAGATTTCCTACAACTTTGACCATTTTTTAAATATGAAAGTAATAAAGATAAGGGAGGTGTATATATGCTCGTGGTCCATTTACTAGCAGGATAATGAAAAAAGAAAAGATGGTTGTTATGTAAACAAAAGAATTGTCAAATAGATATTAGTGTTTCAGAGTTGAAGTGACAGAAGCCTAGGGGATTCAGCAAAATATGTAAAAAAGTTTATGGGTCTGCAAGTGCTTCGTTTCCGAGATACAGTGTGTTATTTAAAAAAAAATGAGTTTTTAAAAACAACTCTAGCCGATTTTAATGAAATTTTTACGGTTTATTAAAACAATTATCTTACCTCAACTGGACCAATTAGATTTGATCCAGAATTTTCAGGGGCGTACCTACCCAACGAGCAAGTCTTTTTTCTTGTAGAAAAGAATATCATCCTGTAAATTTTTTGCGGTTTTTATGTAATATTCAGATAAGCCCACTAAAAATAGTACATTTGTGTCTCTTGACTCTTTTTAGTTTCTCGCTTCGTTTTCGAGAACCTAATAGGTATACAAAAAATGCTTATTTATTTAACTTATTTCTTACTATTTTATATAAGAGTTGTAGTTTAAGACTGTTGTGCGAGAGCTACAACACTGTACAAATGATCACCGTTATGAGTGAATTCAACAGTGTAGTAAGTTCAGCGGTTCTCAACAAGTTTTGCATTAAAAAATTATGCATATTTATATTAAATTTAATTTTTTTCCAATTCTTTAGCAAAAATAATACCAATTACATGTTCTACACAATATACACTGTACCGTTATTTAAAAAAATGTACACACTCAAGATTTACTCTGTCTAAATGATTCACAAACTTTTATGTTATAAAAATCTTTACCTTTCACATCCCTTGCAATGTGATAATTTAATAAACTCAAAGATTCAATTGCTATTTGCCCCTCATAATCAAAAACATACATATATGCAGGCGAATATCTCGTTATCAATTCCACAGATTTTTGCATGGACGTGATGAAGAAGACATCGGATAGATACTAAAATTTACTTATTATTGTTATGTTAAAATAGGTTATTGACTTACTTGTAACAATTCATCATATGTTGCAGCGAAAACAGATTTAGCTTGAAAGTAGCGGTTTCTGATTTTATTTCCCACAATTCTTCTTAGTGAAAATGAAGGAATATTCATACCACTAGGAATTAAACCTGGACTGAGGTCAAATACGAAAAGAAGTGGTCTAATAAGGGATATAACTGAAAAATTTGCAACACAAATATTCAGAATTTACGTAGCTATATTCAGTTTTTATCTCAGACAAACAACGGTGAATATATTTTACTTACTATTTTTAAATAAAATAAACTCCATACTCGTGGTTCCAATAATTAAAGGTACTTTAGCAAATTTACCTTTTTCTAAGAGGGAGTAACTTGATTCAGTTACAAAAGCATCTTTGTGGTTGTACTCGATGACAGGAGTAAATGCCAGCCCGTTGTGGTAGATTTGTGCCAAGTTCTGTAAGGATAATGAATTTGGTAAGAAATATATTTTTGCTCTGTATCATTAAATGGCAACCGATAAGATCGGTAACACTCGTAAAAGCACAAACTATTATTTTACAACCAAATGTGATTTTTATATCTTTTGTCTGTTGTTCCTTTTGCTACATTGTCGAAGATACTGAACAATTTCAACATTGTTGCGTTTCTAAATATTTTTTGATCATTTGCTTGCAATTCTGTTATGTTCTGGCATTCCAAATCTGCTTAATAAGTACCCACTTAAAAATATTACACAAGAACGCCACAAAGGTTATACTTGTGCTCTTAGCGAATGAATAATATTTGACATTATTTCTGAACGTTGATTTTAAAATGAAAAATTGGCACGTAAAATGTAACAGTGACACTGCGACCAACTTTCAGGGCTGAATAAAAAAAGCAAAGAAACAAAAGTAACCATTTCCTCCTAAAACGTTTCCTAAAGAATGCGATTTTTCGAAAGCTGAACATGAAACATAATTTTTTATTATATAATTACTCAAGATCATTGAAGATATTATGCTTTTCAAGCTTGGTATACTAGTGGCTACCTAAATGTAAGGTATGGACAAAAAGAAGCAGTAATGTTGAAATTATTAAGAGTCTGATGAATACAGTTATTTAACCTAAACATAATTTTCTTTCACATATTTGAATAGATCATTTCCAACAAAAAATGTTGTGCCTTTATAAATCCTTAAAGAACCACTGAGGCAAATATCTTTTAGCCATAAGCAGAAACTGATTAACTCTAAAAAATATCTGCATTAAATAGGCTATAGAAAGATTACGCTGCTGTCGTAATGAAAAACTTTTTTCTGAAGGAGCTTACTAATAGTTAAAATGTTTCTTGTTAACTTTTTATTTATTCTTATTATGCACAATTTTTTACTCTAGCAAAAATTTTTATCGCGGTGTTTAGTTTTTTATAGTTTAGTTTGTGATGAAGAGTTTTATGACAATACAAATAAATATATTTTTTCGAAAACTTTCATTAAAAGTTGATTTTTACATGATATACAGGGTGTTTTTGAATGGAGTAGCATAAATGATACCGGTGAATCTACATTTCAAAAGAACACGATCTGCAAAAAGTCGCCTTAGTAAAATGTTCACCCCTGAATGGGCCATCAAAGTTTCCAAAAAAATTATGAAAATTGGCTGTAATTTGAAAACCGAACGAGGTACAAATAACAAATTTTTTACAGGTTGTTTACTAATACAGATGCGAGTTTTCAACTATTTTTCGAAAATTTTAACCCCTCGAAAGGGGTTGAAATAACCACCCCTCAAGCCATTTTTTGCCATAACTTTTATATTTCGTAAAAACTCGATATCCAAAAATACGCATTAGATAAACTGGTTCTTTTAGAAACTTTTACCTCTCTAGCAATTTTCCTTTAAAACTTTTCGTTTATTAATAAAAAAATAAAATGTATTACCATTCACCTCACACCGTATATGATTGCAATCAATCAAAGAAAAACTAAGTGTGCTGCTGTCATGCCAGTTGTCACAATTAACTCTTCTGTAAGTTGTCACTGTTATCAGCTAAATACTTTTTGGGTGTAAATTAACAAGAATTATGCCAAATTTTACTAATGATGAATATGTGGACATGCTACAAGTGTATTTTGAATGTCGCAAAAACTGTGCTGCGGCAACAAGAGCGTATAATGAGAGATATCCAAATCGTCAAGTTCCCCACAGACAAACTTTTTCGGCGGTAGAACGAAGACTTCGGGAAACTGGAAAAATACAGCCGCATATTGAGGGTACCGGCCGAAGACCTACTGTTCGTACTATTTATCTTGAGGATGCAGTACTTGAAGAGTTTGACGAAAATCGTCAGACTAGTACGAGAAAAACAGCAATGCACTTAAATGTGTCCCATAGTGTTGTTTGGAATATTGTCCATGATAATTTATTATATCCTTTTCACCACCGGCCAGTTCAAGCTCTACTTGAACCAGACATGCATAAGCGAGTTGTTTTTTGCGAATCGTATCTTAATATTCTAAGAAATAATTTGAATTTTGCCTCAAAGATACTTTTCACAGATGAAGCAACTTTTCAAAGACATGGTTTAACCAATATGCACAATCTTCATTCCTGGGCTCATGAAAATCCTCACGAAGTATCTATGACAACATTTCAACATAATTTTAGTTTAAACATTTGGGCAGGAATTGTAGAAAATGTGCTTGTCGGCCCTTTTGTTTTACCTCATCGACTTGGTGCTGTTGAATATTTGCAGTTCTTAAATGAGCATCTACCACCACTTCTGGAGGAAGTACCATTAAATGTACGTCAGGCCATGTGGTACATGCATGACGGGGCTCCTGCTCACAGCACTGTAGTAGTTAGGCGGTGGCTTAATTTAAATTACCCGAATCGTTGGATAGGTCGCGGCAATGAGGCACCTATCTCTTGGCCTGCACGTTCTCCCGATCTAACGCCCATGGATTTTTTCTTTTGGGGACATATAAAAAGTATTGTTTATGCGACCCCAGTTGACAGTGTTGAAGAGCTACAGGAAAGAATATTCGCGGCGGCTGATGAGATTCGCAACAATCCCATAATTTTTGCTCGAGTCCGTAACAACTTTGATAAACGTGTTAGGTTGTGTTTAGAAAGAAATGGCAATTATTTTGAAAATGTCCTTTAACTAAGTTTTTTGTTTTTTCTCTTTTTGATAATAAATTATTTCTTAGTTTCGTTTTCATTGTACTTCTATTTAATAAAAGTTTCTGCGACATTCAAACAGTTATTTGTGCAACTACTGTAAAGAGTGTGTATTTGTTGTACGATGCATGAAGTTTGCAGCTCGAGACGAAGTTGAGAGCTGCAATCATGTTAAGTGCAACAAATATGCTTTTTGCACATGTTGCACGCAACATTTTTTCTACGATTGTTTTTATTTCAAATTTTATTTAACAGTATTTTACATAATATTAAAATTTTAACTGACAACTGGAAATTAATTGCGCAAATTGTCAATGTCAGACGTTAGGTACTTATGGATATGCTTAGATTAAACTTGTAATCAATATTTTTTTTGTACTACTGTAAAAAAAGTTAAACTTTTGGCACAGTAGGTAGTGCAATAAGTAGTAAATTTTGCACGATCGTAGAAAAAAACACTTGTAGCATGTCCACATATTCATCATTAGTAAAATTTGGCATAATTCTTGTTAATTTACACCCAAAAAGTATTTAGCTGATAACAGTGACAACTTACAGAAGAGTTAATTGTGACAACTGGCATGACAGCAGCACACTTAGTTTTTCTTTGATTGATTGCAATCATATACGGTGTGAGGTGAATGGTAATACATTTTATTTTTTTATTAATAAACGAAAAGTTTTAAAGGAAAATTGCTAGAGAGGTAAAAGTTTCTAAAAGAACCAGTTTATCTAATGCGTATTTTTGGATATCGAGTTTTTACGAAATATAAAAGTTATGGCAAAAAATGGCTTGAGGGGTGGTTATTTCAACCCCTTTCGAGGGGTTAAAATTTTCGAAAAATAGTTGAAAACTCGCATCTGTATTAGTAAACAACCTGTAAAAAATTTGTTATTTGTACCTCGTTCGGTTTTCAAATTACAGCCAATTTTCATAATTTTTTTGGAAACTTTGATGGCCCATATCTCTTCAGGGGTGAACATTTTACTAAGGCGATTTTTTGCAGATCGTGTTCTTTTGAAATGTAGATTCACTGGTATCATTTATGCTACTCCATTCAAAAACACCCTGTACATTAGGTGTCGGAACAGCAGTTTTTTGTTCACATCCATCTACAAAAATCATTGAAATTATAGAAGATAAAATCAGTTGATCAGTTTATTTATTATTATCAACAAAATCATAAATTATAACAATAATAATAATTAATTAATAACCAGTTTAATTATCAATCAATTTAAATCAAAGAATTTTATTTGATATTAAAATATATGCAGTACCTACCTAAATTATAAATGACATATGTCAAATAAATTAATTTTAAATGTCAAAATCTTTTCACATTTTTAAAGATTTTTGAACTGTGGGATACAGTTTTCGAAAAAATTTTGTTTGATACTCAATTGCGAAATTCGTTTGCATTCTCGAATATTTTTTTTGCTTGCCATCGCTCGCTAGCATCAAAAATAAATATTTACTTCAAATAAGTGACTTTTTTGGCACTAATAAGTGACTTTTTTGCCATAATTATAAACGCTTAGGTAAATTAATTTATTAAATTTGTTTTTAAAATTTCTCTTCGTGTTAAAAAGTTACATTTACAGTTAACCACATTAGGAAGGTGCCATGTGATATTGATGATGATACAACACTAATAATAAAAAATGCTGTATGATACTGATTATCTAAACAAAACTTTCTTATTGGTTAATTTCTCTCAATGGAAATTTTTCTTTTTTTTTCTGACCGATAAGATCACTCCTTCTAAGTTGGTCTAAAACCATCTTCGCTTGGTTCCCTGGCAGTTGCCAATGGTTGGATAATTTTCAGGGTGGTTGACAAATAGTTATAATCCTTTATCTCCATAATTTCAGTGGAGAGGAAGGATTACAACAGACTGGAATTTGAAAACGACTCATCCCCAATAAAACAAGAACCAGAACTGCGAACCAATGGAGGATCAGTTGGAGGACTTAATTTCCAGAAGAAAAGAACGAAGTCTAAACCGACGACGTGGAATTCAGTGCAGAAATTGTGCAACAAAAATCGTCTACGATAGCTCTTGGGTAGTTTAACAAAATTCGTATCCCACATGCAAACTTAAAGGATCATAAAGCCCTTAGGATTCATTCTACAAACATTTAACTGTTCCGTTTGTTTGTTTTCACAAGAATAATCATCCCTGATAGTTTGTAGCAATATCGTTGGTACAATTTGAACAAATACTCACAACTAAAATTGGGACTACTTGACCATACATCAGCTGCTGGCTATCCATTTTTCTTAGAGCCTCTACAAAAGCCGTGCTATTCTCTATTGAAAGGCCCAAATGTAAACTTATATCTCTAGCAACATTTCTTGGATATCTTTGAAGACACCAAGGACTAAGACTGTTACCACTCATAGCTATAGCTCCATGAAATAGACCTATGCTTTTTGGCGAAACCATATGGTACATAACAGAACAAGCACCTGCACTTTGTCCCAGTATTGTAACTCTATTAGGATCACCTCCAAAGCCTTTAATATTACTTCGGATCCACCTCAGTACGGCATTTTGATCTTTAAGAGCATAGTTTCCCGGAGCTGCTTCGTCTTCCGTGCTGAGGAAACCTGGTGTAAACATTATGAAAAAGTGTTATTTACTGAATATATTTTCAAGAAATGTTAACCACTCAACATGTTATTAATATGAATCTATTTTTACGATACCTACCAACCATTTACAAACATCTATTTCTAAATTAGCTTACCAAACATCCCAAGTCTGTAATTAGCAGTAACAACGATCACATTCTCTTCTACGAAGTATTCTGGATCATATATTGTCACATCTCCTTCAAGAAATGAGCCACCCTGAATCCAGTATAACACTGGAACGGTTTCATTACTTCGAGGTTTCTAAAATAATGTTGAATTAATTTAATCTCGAACGACTTTTTTTCATATTCTCATGATTTCATATATACGAATCTTTAATTTAATAGAAAATAGTCTTTAAGATATTGTCTGTAATTGCAGTATTTTATGTCACCGTTTCTATTTGATTTGGTATGTCTGCATTTATGAAATAACCCATTGCGTCAAAAGAATCAGTCAAGGGATACAGGGTGATTTTTAAGTTGGGTAAATCCTTCTACCGCCAAATAAAGCTAAGAAAAATAAATATTTTTTTCCTTTACCACTTTGTCGAAATATCAATATTAACGAAAGTACAGGGGGTTAAAGTTTTGTTTAAAAATTTTAAAAATTAATTTTTTTCTACGAAACCGCTTGTGATATGTTAATGAAATTTTACAGGAATTTGGCACACTAAGGATTTCATGTAGCCCCACAAAAAAAGTCACATGGAGTCAGATCTGGAGATCTCGGAGGCCACTCCACTGGACCACCTCGACCAATCCATTTTTTTCGAAAAGTATTGTCCAAGAACAATCGTACCTCCCTACTGAAGTGGGGGGGTGCCCCGTCTTGCAGAAGCCACATGTTTTGCCTTACGTTCAGTGGGATTTCCTCCAAGAGAACTGACAGATCATTTTGCAAGAAGTTTAAATAATTTTCGCCCGTTAAACGAACTGGTAAAATATGTGGTCTAATGAGCATTCCATTCACAAGTCCTGCCCATACATTGACGGAAAATCGATGTTGAAAATTGGTTCTTCTAACAGCATGTGGATTTTTGGTAGGTTGTAGCACCTGTGCATGTCTTGCAATTTCCCTAGTGGTTCTTGTTGGGTCTTCCCCGATAAGATGTAAAACTTGATCTTCGATTTGAACATTTTCACGTTGTCGGAGTCTCCCTGCATGACCTCCGCGATGTTCCTTTAATTTACCAGTTTCTCTGGCTCTTTGAACTAAATTGAGAAATTGTCGGTGTGAAGGAACGGAAATCGTTTAGCGTATAAGCGAGATGCAGCAGCGGCATTTGTACGACACTCCCCGTAAATAATCAGCATATCAACTAATTCATTATTTGAATAAACATAAGCCATTTTTGTATTGGTACTTTAATAATTTTACGGAAGCAATTAAATTGACAGAACATTGGTTGACAATAGGAATAAACAAAAACAAAATATGAAAAAGTGTGATTTGATTTTGAATTAAAGTTACATTTGATTTTGAATGTGGAATAAAACTATTCCTTTTTTTTATTTGAAAAGTATGAGTCGTGTGAAAAAACTCAAGAGAGCTTTCTTCTTCAGAACTGAACAGAGAAATCAAAATTTATTTTTGTTTCGAAAAAACAGTAGCGTACCATTTTTTCTTAAAAAATATTGAATTATCTGTTGGTACGTGCGCCACTGATAGATTTAGAAATATTCTGCTTATCGAATAATATGCGACTTTTGGAGTTATCAACGCCTGTAAAATTTCATTAACATATCACAAGCGGTTTCGTAGAAAAAAAAATTATTTTTAAAATTTTTAAACAAAACTTTAACCCCCTGTACTTTCGTTAATATTGATATTCCGAAAAAGTGGTAAAGGAAAAAATATTTATTTTTCTTAGCTTTATTTGACGGTAGAAAGATTTACCCAACTTAAAAATCACCCTGTATATTTAATAAATTTAGTATTACTTAACTAGATATACTGAGTAGATATTTCTTCTCTACTACATAATATCGCACAATAAAAACTATGTTTTTGTCCTTAAAACTCAAATTGATTTAAATTAAAAAATTTTGATTTGACTTTCTATTAATTTAATTTTTCATAATGAAAACGCTATGGCGGATGGAATAAAAAATGTTTAGAAATGAACCAAAAATGTCGAATTCTACACAAAATTTGTGTGAAGTAAAATTTCGCAATATCGACAAATACGCTAACTAATGAGTTTTAATTTCGATTTCGATTTCTCGGAGAAAAGAGGTATTCGAATGATTCAAAATGAATTTTGAAGAAGAGTGGTATTTAAAAAGGAGTTTTGTGGAGACAAATCATCGGATTCGGATTCAATGTCACTGTTTATTTATTAAACACAAGACACAGAAACAGGAAGTTATGTTTTAAAAATAATTGATTCTTCAAATGTCCCTGTCACATACTTCTGTAGATAACATCTCTTTGCTAAATTTTACAACATTTTGGCATAATTGTGATTTGTTTCAGTAAAATTTTCTGACGTGGGGATGTTCCAAATCCTCGAATTCCTTCAAATGAAGAAGATAACGATATGTTTCTCGAAACATCCAGTAATTCTAACCGATTATCTAGCAACTAGCCCAGATATTGTTTAACGTTCGACAACTAGCAACGAGCAAATTCATCATTGCTGATATATTTTACTGGATGATAGTAAATACTTACAATAGGTGAATATGTATTTAGATACAGGCAATCTTCTACTCCATTGACTGTTATTGGAGTTGTTCTAAACATCAGTTGAACGCAAGGTTGTGTTTGCTGCCTGGCATCTAAAACACCGGCCCACTTCGTCTGCGGTTGCGGACTCTAAGAAGAAAATTTTAAAGGATATTGCGGTGTTATACAAGTAGCTTTTTTTGTCATTGTCGCCAGTAAAGTACTGTATTACCAAGAATTTACCATAAATCTTAAATTGTAGAGGGGTGGCTTTGCAAAAGGTATTCCTTGGTATATAAAAATGTCTTTACCATTGCCCATTTTTCTCGAGAAACCCTGTACGAAGCCATTATTGGTTTTGACCTGAAGAGTTCTGTTCTGGAACAAAATATCAGAATATAAATGTCCATCAAACGATATCTAATGATTACACAGCGTCATAAACCACAAAAAAAGTGGATTGGACCATCAGACTAGTGTATCCTATAGTACTTTAACCGTTGAATCTGAATCTCTCTAGAAAACGGTTTTCGAGATTTCAAACTGACTTGAGTCGTGAGTAATTAGCAAAACATTCGAACTCATAATATTATTACACCATTACCCCATAACATGGGATGTGCGAGAGTGTAGAACCATGAAACTCTGTGGGAACATGGACCCCATGCACCAGGTATCTGAAACTACATGACAGACTTGGCAAACTTCTATAATCCCATAACTCAATACTCCGTAACTCTGGATGTGGGAAGATATATAACAATTTCTGAGGACTTGCAAGTTCTTATAGACCTATGATCTGGGGTGTACAGATTTGTGTTAGAAATTCACCTGAGGTGCTTTCTCTTTGTATCTACACCAAAAAAACATGACAGTACTGTCTTCACTGTGATCGTGAGATGTTGCAATTAAAATCGTTCAAAATAACAGGTTACGGACTTATGGGGTTACGAAGTTATGGGGTTATGAGGTTGTGGGGTGTATGGGGTTATAGGATTATGGGTCTGTGGGGCAATGATATCGTGAATTCCAATGATGATGATGATGATCAGGTTGCTTTGAAATCTTGAAAACCGTTTTTTGATGTTAGGATCAAAACAAAAACTGTTCCGGAAATTTTGACAGTAGATTTAAATTTACCAGATTAAAGCAGTATGAGATACATTAGTCTGGTCTATGGCCAAGCGCTCTTTTTTCATGTTATGTTATTTGAATCCATTCAATTTTAACTAATATACTGACAAACTTGTTTACATTGGAAGTTTAAATATATCTACATTATTTCAAATCGTTCACTATTTATTATTGCAAAATAAAAAAAACCTCACGTACCTTTGATAAAAGTGATCTGTTTAAAATTTACTATGTTCCCTTTATTGTTTTCCCTTTATCCACAAATAAATATTTTTTAACAAAACAATTTAATCGTTACTTTAAAAAGATATATTGATTATTTGATTTTGTTATTATTTAAATTATTGAAAATATGTATATATTGGCATACTTATTTATCTCTCTGTAGATCAATGAAGGCATATTCTGAAAAAAGAATTTAATTTTTAGCTTTTTTGCATAAAATGGCTTTAGAATCATTCTATGTGTTACGAAATGTTTATGAAAGTATTTTAATCGGAATATTTAAAGGGAATTAAATTTCTAAATGAATTAGCTTTTCAAGATATACATCACAAATTTTAGGTCCTGGTTAATTCATTATAAGTGTAGAAATTATCTTCTCTGTTATTTTCAAGACATGAAAAAATGTGTTTGAACAAAAGTTATAGCAAATATTTTACATTTTGAAAACCTGTATGTACTTCCCAGACATTTGATTATCATTTTTGAGAAATATAATCCAGTATATGTTTTTTTTATATAAAAATATGGTCATGCTTTTACATAACTTCTCATTATTGGTTTGACAGATTTATCTTTAAAAGCACGGGAGATATGCCAAAAAGACTGCCATAAGACTTGGTGGCCTAGCCACATTATACGTACTTATTGCACATTCTTTTGACCAAACTTCAGATCACTATAATCATAAAAATGTGTTCTATATAATATATACAGGGTGATTCCACCTTAAATACAAAAACTGCAGAACTATATTTATTACCAAAAAATAAGTAGAGTTTGCGAAATCCTTCCGCATCGATGCACTTTTGATATCTTCTAATCAGGCTATTTATAGAGGAGCTTATCATGACATGATTTTTCCCTGACGAGATTACAATTTTCGTCTATTCTTTGCCACAATTCGTCTCGTAGCCCAGCTTCAGGATATAAACATATATGAAATAAACAAAGCTTGTTATAAAACTAAAATGGGATCATCGTAAAGCTTACTATAGATGATGCAGACAAAAGAATACATTTTTGCGGATGTATTTTAAACAAATGTGGGTATGTGGACTAAAGCGCAAATAAGAAATTATCTCCTAAACGGCTGCTACTATTAAAAACACCAAGAACATTTCAATTACTTAACGTAACAATACATGAATTTAACATTATTTCTAAAAAAAAAAAAAACACCAGTTTTTTATGGAAATATGGAGCGGCGCCTTTGGTTAATGCCATGAGGTTAATATTGCATTCAATAAAATGTCTAATTAAGTGAATACCTACGCTGTAGAAAAATTTCATTTAAATCGTTCAACGCTATATGAAGATATGACAGAAAATATAATTTTTTTTGGAAACTTGAACACCTAGTATTTCGAAAACCACGCCCCCCTCCAGGAAAAAAGTTTATAGAGCAAACTTTACTTATTTTTTGGCAACTAATCTATTCTTACAGTTTCTGTATTTAAAGTGAAATCACCCTGTATATATGTAGAAATTAAGAGGGTTTTCCATAAAAAACGAATTCGGTAATATCTCTGCAACATATAATATCTACGTTTTTTGCATCCCAAATACTAACGGAAAAAATATGGATAATATATACAGTGCACCACCTGTATCATCGTCCAAATGAGACAATTATCAAACATAATTTAAAAAAACTTACATATTCTTCCTTTTTGACAAAAGTTAAGCAATTTCCATTATCAAACAAATCCGCAAAAATCAAAACACTCGTAGTAATTATATAAAACTTATTGCTGATTCTACTAGTAGTTAATAGTGGAAGCATTTTTACAAACTGTTAGGCAGATAGCTTTAATCAACTTATAATGTTGCGAACATGCTCTGCCATATACATGACACGATAATTAATTGTAATGCATAAATGGAATAATATAACAAGAGACCGAGGTTTTTCTACTTTTTTTATTACAAGCTCTCTTATGGAGGTGATACGTTTTGAATTATGAAAAAGATATTAAAGTTCATGGAGAGATCATATCAAAGAGGTCCTTGGATATGAATAATCCTAAGAGTGTTTTCTTGAAATACAATTATTTTAAATGCTTAATTATTCGATTTAAGAAAAATTAAAACATGTTGGTAATTAAACTTACCCGAGCTTATTGCGAATATTTTTTGAAGGTAGACATTTTTTCGATGTAAGATTTTGAGGATAACTTGTATCTAGGCCTACATACATATACCTATGTTGTATACCGACTAAACTTATGTGTATATTTTGTTAAATCTAAGAATTCAATTTTGAGACGGGGTCGCAAATGAAATTTTATTGTTAGTACACATCCAAAATTATGTAGCAATTAAAATAAAAGTAACAATTAGAGAATATGATAATGGAACTTCTCTGTAAAACAAGTTATGTCACATTTTTTAATTTGCATGTGAAATAAAATATAAAATTAACATAACGGTAAGTGGTTATAATGAGGAAACAACAAATTATTTGTTCACGCCTTTTAAATTTAAATTGAAAATTAAAATAACTGAAACAGAGAAAGAATGAGATTCACTGCTTAAAATGATGTTAGGTTTCCACAAAGTCTTTGTCATCTCTAAAATACTGATGGATTTGCAGAAACAGTAGAAAATTTTTTGAATCTTATTAATTGTAAATGATAAATAAGTAGATGGAACTCATTCTATATATAGCCGAACTTAAGGAAGACGCAAGAAAATGAAGAGTTTGATGCACGAAAAGATTAACTTCTCTAAAAGTTGCACATACACTGACAAAACAATTTCGTATCTAAATTAATTAAAACTGGATAAATTTATTTTCACTTTATTTAAATATTAATTACTAAATACAAAAATAAGAGGAAATTTACTTACAAATAATATGCTTCACAAAATATATTTGAAATTTTGGACTAGTTCTTCTGCCACCTTTTCTGCTGTACATTATAGTATACAATATTTATTTAGTTGTATTAGATATTTGATATTTGTTTGAAAAAATAATACAATAATATAACATATATAACATTATAATCTAATCCGGAATCTAATATTGTGTCAATTACTATAAAATATACTCTTTGGGGGTCGAGTCATACTTTCAAACGAATAAAATACATAGTCTGGGATTTTTATTTCTGGGTATTTGCCTAAAATATATTTTTTTGCAAATGTCACTTGCCTAAAATACATTCCCTAAATTCGTCGTCAGCTCTTGGACTATAATACTTAAAATGCGTTAAGAATTTAAATGATTCTTGCATATTAACAAAACTGTATCAGTGTAGATAGGCCATTTTCAATAAAAAGTGAATTTTGCACCAGTCTTCTTTTTGTTTAATCCTAAAATATCATTTACCGTTATCCTCTATATTCCCTGTAATTCTAAAATTTAAAAAGGTCATTTTTTTCAATGTGAAGTTTAATAGGTACTAAAATAGTTGCAGTAAATTGTCCAATCCATTACACTAATTAAACCAAGACGTATAATTAAATTTTCCTTCAATCGCTATTATATACGTCGTAGATGTATTGCTTTTACGTCGACAAATTAAATTGTTATCATAAATTGTTATTTCAAATTACAGGGAGAGTAAGCAGTAAAAGATTAAAAATAAACAGCATTCACTTGAGCACTAGTATCAAAAGAACCCTATTCTTTCATTAATAATAACCGTAAATAGTGTTTGATTGTGCACGAAGCACCTTCTGGTATTATCTCCTTTTGCCTGCCCTGACAGACAGGATTATTACGGGGCACTGACTGATTTTGTTAATGAAACCCTTGGCTTGATTTTTCACTTATTTAATGACTTATAATAAGTTCTCACAAGGTGTCTTAACACTACTCTAACCTAAACTCTTCTGTCTATGTGTGTATAGGGCTTATGTGCCCACAGCCTCGCTTTCGTCCCGTACCTCAAAACAATGAAGAGGGGGGTTGGACGGAACCTTATGGCGCGTGGCGGAACAAATAGTTTGATAAACATTGTAATACGTGGACATTTCGTTATCTGCAAAAGTCGCAGCGACGGGAAGAGAAATGCCAGTCTCGTTTCTCAAAAAGTATTAATTCCAATGTTGAAATGAATCATCATTTATCTGTGCATTCATCTACACTGCTCAAAATAATTAGAGTAACACTTATTTAAATCTCAATAACTTTTTTATTTGTAATACTATATAAATCTAATAATGCATATCTTAAAGACTAACATTTTGTTCGAATAAATTTACGAAAATAAAACAAATTTACAAAATCATTCTTGAGACAATAGTACCAATTCAAAAAAACTACAAGAAATAAAGTGAAACATACAATCAAAATTTCAATTTAGAAATATGCTGTGCCTTGGAATAGTAAACAATGTTGACAGTTCAGCATGAATTGTAAAAAATGAGGCATCTAAGTGAAGTTGAAGTCTTTCGTGTTGTTGTTAGTATAGAGTATGGCATCAGTATTCGACAGGTTGCAAGAGATTTTAACGTAAGCCCTTCTGTCATCCATCGCGTGTGGAATCGTTACTTAGAAACCGAAGGATATAAAAAACGCATTGGACAAGGCCCTAAGAGGAAAATAAACGGAATTCAGGACAGGTTTTTAGTCCTATCCTCCTTGCGTTCTCGTACATCCACAGCAAAAGACCTTCAAAGTAGGCTCAGAACGACTCATGGGTTGGAAATTTCCGATCAGACAGTTAGGAATAGACTGTGAGAAGCAAACTTGAGACCAAGAGGACCCGTGCGAAAACCTATATTAATTCCGTATCACATAAGGTCTCGTTTACATTTTGCACGTGAGCATGTGGCATGGCAACTTCGATATTGGAGACCAGTACTCTTCACAGATGAGTCACGATTTCGTTTAAGTCGTTGTGATGGTCGAGTACGTGTATACCGACGTCCACATGAACGCCATTCTTCAGCTACCATACAAGAAGTCGAAAGATTTGGTGGTGGGTCAGTGATGATTTGGGGCGGAATTAGTTTTGATGAAAGAACCGATCTTGTCATAGTTCCAGGGACTCTAACCGCTGAACGGTACATTGATCTCATTCTAGCTCATGTTATACCAGCCGCTTATCGTATAGGTCACAATTTTCTGTTTATGCAAGATACCGCAAGGGCATATACTGCGATTATCACCATGAACTACCTTCAACATCACGGGATTCAATCCATGGATTGGCCTCCGCTAAGTCCTGATCTAAACCCCATCGAACATCTTTGGGATTTGTTAGATAGGCGTGTTCGGAGGCGCCCAGACTCACCTCGGACTCTCCAACAGTTAACAAATGCCCTAATCGAAGAATGGGAGAATATACCGGACTTTTATGTTATACAGACAGGATCATAGACTCTTCACTTTATTTCTTGTAGTTTTTTTTGAATTGGCGTTGTTGTCTCAAGAGTGATTATGTAATTATTTATGTATTTATTTTCGTAAATTTATTCGAACAAAATGTTAGTCTTTAAGATATGCATTATTAGATTTATATAGTATTACAAATAAAAAAGTTATTGAGATTTAAATAAGTGTTCCTCTAATTATTTTGAGCAGTGTATTTATTATACAATCGTAATTCAAATTCTAATAATACGACATGCCGTCATATAAAACAACGCAGGTGCTACTCGCTTGTGTTTATTAATTTATTAACTTATATTTGCATTTATTAAGTATAAATCTCAAAATGTGCGAGGATGTGACATTGAATTTAATAACACTCTTAATAGATTGCTGCAGATGCCTGTATTTGCTTTAAAATTGCTTTAAGTACGTGGGAGAGCAAATATTATGAAAATATTGCGAATTACAGGTTTATTTTTTGTGCGAATTGGACATTTTGTAAAAGACCTAATTTATCGGATTTCACCTGAAAATTTTCCAGTTTTTATACAAGGTGGCCAAAAAAATTATCGAATGTGAAGTTCAGAAAATGTTGAAAACTCGACATTTTTAAATGGAAACCCTCAATTTTTTGATGTATTCGCATTCTGCACTAAAATTGAGTGTAACTTTATTAAAGTTTCCTTATACCTAAACCCAGCCGTTTTACTACTATGTATTAGCAATACTAATTAGAAATAATAAAACATTCCATAAATTCGTATTTTTTTATTAGGTACTTTTTAAAATCATTATTAAAAAAAATTGATGGATATTTGCTGTATTAACTTTTATACTGTTTTGACTTCCTCCAATAAATATTTTGAAAGCGTTCAGAGCCGTACTCAGGAAAAATTTTAAATGATAGTTAAAACAAGCTAAAAACCTTTTAAAGCGATTACAGTAATAGTAATATCATATAATTCAGAATTAAAAATGACTAGATTTTGTCTTAGAAATAGGAGCGACGTATTTAAAAAAATTAACCTGATGATGGCCTCTCGAAGACGAAACGTCGGATTGCAAAAATATTGACGCCATTGGATTGAGCGAAAAAAGTGGCAATGTATATGTCGGAGATGTCTTTCTCGCGGGCCGAGTCCTTCAGACTTTGGAAATTCCAGAATTCTTTATTCAGGGAATACCCTTTTATAAATTGTACATAGACCATTAAACTTAAAAATAGTTATTTATGAATTAAATCGGTTATGTTATTCCCGAGTTTTATGATGGCAAGCTTGGGTTTGGAGGGACTTACGGGTCACTCAACGTAGCCGCGATCAAAGGATAGATAGCATTTACCTTATAACTATTTTATAAGGGAATCTCTAGGAGATAACGAATTTGATTGGTTCATTTAAGAATAATTTTGACCTGACGAGTGAAGAGAAGTACAGGGAGATGTACTGAGGGCAGTTCTACTTGAGCATTCAAGACG